CTGAACCAGAATCTGTGTTTTCAACATGACACCCAGGAGACTTTTATGCATATCTGAGTTTAGAAGCACTTTAGACAAACCCTTCCTGATGTAATTTTACCTGAAAATGTTCTGTGACATTTAGAAATCATGCTTTTCATTACAAAGTGGAGTTAGCATGCAAATAAGAAATCCCTGGATGCCAAAGACAGGAGAGGTATTTTTAGGGGCTTTAGGGACTCTCTGAAGTCCGCCTGTGAATCCTGGCTTTCCTTTCCTTCATGGTGTGGTCTCCGCACTGCAGGTAATGGGTAGCAATGGCAGAGAGGTAAAAATTCAGGTATGAATAATGATGAAAAGCTGGGGTATTTACTGTTTACACAAGACTAAACAAATATTTTTGTTAGAGCAAGAGATTTAAAAACATTTTAAATGCATTTTCTACACTTACTTTTTTTTATCATCTCTATTATATATTAACTTCTCTTTCATTTTAACTGTTTCCATGTATTTGGCCAGCGTTTAAGACCACAAAAGCATAGCTACCCGTCACTGAGTGCCCTCAATGGGGCTATTACAATATCTCATTTAATTTTAAAAGACAATCCTCATTTTGTATATTTTACTGAGTCTTAAAAAACACAAGTAACTCACCCGAGATCACATAACTAGTAAATGACTGGCAGATCCTGACTGAATATAAGCAGTTTATTTTAGTAATAATTTAATTTCTTCTGATATAGGTCATCCAATGGACACACTCATTTCTTTGTCTTCTGTTAAATTTAAACACTGTTAAATTTTATTAAAATCTATTTTCCGTTCAGGCTGGGAATCTCTCTCCCCTCTCTGGTACCTATCTTAGTCTCTTATATGTAATAGTGTTGTATAATAAAGAAGTTGATGCCTTTGTCCCAGGTTCCTGGGAGGGAGACTCTATATCCATGCGTCACACCTGAGTTTAGACTAAGATGCTGATCACCAGAAAGAACAACCATGTGATTAGAGCGTTGGGGCTTTAAGCTAGGCAACTTCTGAGGGGGAGGGAGAGGGACTGGAGACTGAGTTTACTCATGTGGCCAATGATCCAATCAATCATACTTATGCAATGAAACTCCCAAGCTCAGTGTAGCTTTCAGATTGATGAATACACTGATGTGACATGAGGCTGACATACCTGAGACTATGGGGAGAGGGCACAGCAGTTCTGTGTTTGAGGCCCTCCCATACCTTGCCCTGTGTGATCATCATTTAGCTGGTCCTTATTTGTGTCCCTTGTAATAATTATAAACTGTAATCTTAAGTGTAGAAGATTCCACAGTCCTAATGAGGCAGACTAGCAAATTACTGAACTTAAGGTGAGTTGTGGGAACTGCATGGACTTGTAGCCAATTGGTCAGAAGTATGGGTGGCCTGGGAACCTTGAATTTGCAGCTGGCATCTGAAATGAAGGCAGTCTTATTGGGGGCTGGGTCCTTAAACCTGTTGAGTCTGACAATAACTCCGGGTAGTTAGTGTCAGAATTATATTGCAGCATTGCAAATAGGAACAAAATAAATATTTGATGGATTGAACTCAGTTACCTAGAATTATAGTTGCCTTTTAAAGGATTCATATAATTTTCTTAAATGAGTATAATTTTGTCTTATTATACAGTTAATATACATACATTACATGAAAATTAGTAAGTAAAGGCAAAAGTAAATGAATGGGACTATATTGAACTAAAAAGCTTCTGTAGAGCAAAAGAAAGTGACAACAAAGCAAAAAGCCAACCATCCAAATCAGAGATGATATCTGCAAACAACAGCCATGACAAGGGTTTAATACCTAAAATATATAAACAACTCATACAACTCAACAAAATAAAAACAAACAATCCAATTTATAAATGGGCAGAGGACCTGAACAAAGACTTCTCCTAAGAAGACATATAAATGGCCAACAGATAAATGAAAATATGCTCAACTTCACCAGCTATTAGGAAAATGCAAATCAAAACTACAATGGAACACCACCTCACACCGGTTAGAATGGCTATTATCAACAAGACAAGTAATAACAAGTGTTGAAAGGTTGTGGAGAAAAGGAACCCTCATTCACTGGTGGTGGGAATGTAAACTGGTATAGCCACTATGGAAAACAGCATGGAGGTTCCTCAAAAACCTAAGAACAGAGTTATTACCATGTGACCCAGCAATCCCTCTTCTGGGTATCTACCCTAAAATTTTTGAAAACTTTTATTCGTAAAGATATATGCACCCCCATGCTCATTGCAGCATTATTCACGGTGGCCAAGACATGGAAACAACCCAAGTGTCCTTCAATAGAGGATTGGATAAAGAATATGTGGTACATACACATAATGGTATACAGCTCAGCCATAAGAAAAGATGAAATACTGCTATTTGCAACAACATGCATAGATCTTGAGAAAATTATGCTCAGCAAAGTCAGTCAGTCAGAAGAAGCTAAGAACCATTTGATTTCACTCAAAGTCAGATCAACTTTTGTCACCATATACTTGCCCCCTTTACCCTTTACTACTCCCTACACCCCCTTCCCTCTGGTAACCATCATACTGTTGTCTGTATCTATGAGTTTAAGTTTTATATCCCACACAAGGAGGAAAGATGTGAAGACGGCAGAGGGAGATGGCCATCTACATGCCAAGGAGAGAGGCCTCAAGAGAAAACAAGCCTGCCAACATCTTGATCTTAAACTTCCAACCTCCTGAACTATGAGAAAATAAATTTCTGTTGTTTAAGCCACCCAGACTGTGGTATTTGTTATGGCAGCCTTAGCAAAGTAATGCACTGCATTAGCTTACACCTGTAGTCAGTAAGTTGTAGTTGTGATAGGACACATATTTGCATTATACCTAACTTTACAGAAAATATTTCTAAAATTTCAAAGTAGCCTCTCTGCATCCCTCACTTATAATATTCCCTCCGTCTCTCCCAGAGATAAATATTGTCTTTAATTTTAAATTTATCATTCCTCAGGTAGGTATTTCCCCACCTATGAATGTATCCTTTACAGTATGGTTTCATTTCCCCAGTTTTGAAATTTATACAAATGGAATTATACTTTATGTATTTTTGAATTGCTTACTTTGTCATGGTTTCTGAGATTCAGCTAGTAAAAGCATTGCTATAGTTCATTTGTTTTCACTGTTAATGTAGTATTCACTGTATGACTATATCAAAACTCATTTGTCAATTCTACTGTTGATATTGTATCACAGTCTTGTCGGCCAATATGAACAATCTATGGCCATTCCTATCAATCTGTCCTGCATATACGGAAGTTTTTCTGGATATATACACTGGTGTGAAATTATTGGATCATAGGGCATATTCAAGTGGAAGCTTACTAGGTATATATGCATGCACAGTTGTAGAACTTAAGCCCAGGAGTAGAACTGCTAGGTATAGAATATGTGGATCTTTAGTTTTAGTAGATACTGCCAAACTGTTTTTCCAAAGTGGGTATGCCAACTTACATTCACACATGAGAGTTACCACTGATCCACATCTTCAAATGGTTCCTGGATGTGATTTAATTTCTAGAAAATATATATATACCAAATTGTATGTGTGTGTGTGAGAGTGTGTGTGTGTGTGTGTGTGTGTGTGTGTGTGTGAGAGAGAGAGAGAGAGAGAGAGAGAGAAAGAGAGAGAGACTGAATGAATGAATGTGTATGTATACCAAGAGCTTTAACTTACCGGTTTGGAAAGTGACTTCCATGTTTTAGCAACTATAATAAACAAATATATAAGAATTAGATAATACTTAATGTCATATAGATCTAAATTCAGTAACTATCAACAACCATATCTCCTAAAACCCAGCTTTATATCTAAAAGGCAATGTTTCTCAAGATTTGGATCCAAGGTATTTTATTTATGGCATGTTTTTGTTTCATGTACTATAAACTATAATAAATAATTTGAATAGGAAACACATTTTCCATAATTATTATCTAACTTTGTGTATTTCTAGATTTATAAAATAAGTTAACTTCATGTTAAACATCCTATGGTCTTAAAAACACAAATAATGGTATTAAATATTCATAGAATATAAAATATTAACATAAACTATAATTTTAAGGCATTACCCATGCTGTCTACTATGTTACTATTGCTGATTATAATTAAAAGGTCAGGTCTCTCTAGCGTGAATGGGAAGGATAGGGACAAAGGTAAAAGAGATGAAGGAGAGAGCAAGGAATGTGAGGTAGGGAGTCTCATCCTGTTTTCCATTCTTCTCTGCTAAAAATATTATCCTGTATAATAAAAGCATAATATGCTAAAGTATCTGGTTGGCTGTTCAACCAATCAAACTGTAATATGCTAATGTATGCTAAGGTTGCTCAACTGCTCACTATGAAGTGCACTGACCACCAGGGGGCAGACAGTTGACTGGTTTACCAGTCGCTATGATGTGCACTGACCACCAGGGGGCAGATGCTCTGACCAGTAGGTTAGCTTGCTGCTGGGGTCCGGCTGATAGGGACTGAGTGAGATGGGCCAGACATGCCCTGGAGCCCTCCACAGTCCCTCTGTGGCTGGCCAACCTCCCATGTCCCTCCCCAGCCCCGAGCGTGCACCAGTGGGGTACCTCAGCCTGGCCTGTGCCTTCTCACAATCCAAGACCCCTTGGGGGATGTTGGTGAACCAGTTTCGGACCAATCCCGCAGGCCAGGCTGAGGGACCCCACTGGTGCACAAATTCGTGTACTGGGCCCCTAGTAGTTGAATAAAATACCAGTGATCACTTTCTTTTTGTGATTCCTCTTCACACTCCTGAAGAGATCAAAAACTATGAATAATATTGAAATAAATGTGAGTCATATTGCTGTTTCCTTTGCTCAGATTTGAACACTGCGAATATCTAATGACTAACCTCATGTTTATATGGGATTAATTCCTATTAAACAGCTTAATTAGGAATTGGTAAATATTAAGTATACTAACTACATTACAATAATGACAACCAATAATATCCCTACATGGCGATGTTGTTATTTCTATATAATTTACCATAGTTAATGTAAACAATATATCAAATTCAAGATTATAAGAAAGGCTCTTTTTCTTAGTTAATACATCATCTTAAAATACAAAGGAAGTATTTTCTAAAATTTAGCAATCTGATCTTTAGGCAGATAGATTTATTCTCTATGTAGAAACAACATCCTTTCTTTACTCAAGATAGGTTATACAAACATATAATCAAGTGATTAAAATCATAGGCCTATAAAGTTGAATTCAGCAGTTAACCTCAATTATGATACTATATACATTCACTTTAAAAGACATCCTCCTTTTCATAATAAGCAGAACAATGTAAATAATGCTCTGTTGCTTTTGAAATATAACAAAAAAAAGAAGAAAAATAAATGGCACAAAAGTACATGCACACGCTCTGGTGTAATGTTCAGAAGCTATTTATCAAAAGAGGAAGTTAGAAACACTCTTGAGTTTTGTAGGGTTTATGAGAACTCCAGGGTAAATTATTCACAAAAGACGTATTCATTCTGCCGGATATGTCACCATGTTCAATATTATTAGCTTTTTCTTATAAAGACTAAAGAGCTATTAAGATTGTTCTTCAAAGGATTTTCTACTCCTTATTTAATATGTAGTTACTATATACATATATATATATAAAAATTGGATGAAAAGGGACTTCAATTCTATTGGATATATTTTATTTCTTAAAGCTATAGGTTGATATTCATTGTATTTTTAATATTTTTATGTATGTCTAATTTTTTAATAATACATCTTTTAAAACTAAAATTAAAATAATATTTGAAGCTATATGAGAAAAATAATTACTTATTTTAGTTCTAGAAGGGACATTTGCCTTTTAGGTTCCATTTAAGTAGGTAAAATAAGAAATTTTCTCAATTTCAAACACAAAGTTATAATCAACAACAATCAGATGTATACCTCAATTGATATTTACTTTGTACTATAATTATTGAGCAAATGTTTACATAGGATACCTTTTTTTTCCTATTGATATCACCATGAAATTATATATAAAAAAATGTTTAGCCTAACCAGTTTGGCTCAGTGGATAGAGCGTCGGCCTACAGACTGAAAGGTCCCAGGTTCAATTCTGGTCAAGGGCATGTACCTTGGTTGCGGGCACATCCCTAGGAGGAAGTGTGTGGGAGGCAGCTGATCAATGTTTCTCTCTCATCGATGTTTCTAGCTCTCTATTCCTCTCCCTTCTTCTCTGTAAAAAATCAGTAAAATATATTTTAAAAAAGTGCTTAAATCATGGTTACAAATTCAAGCGATAATGATGATGATGATATCTACTAACATTTATTAAGCAACTAGAGGCCCGGAGCGGGCCTAAACCTGGCCTCCCTCTGTGGGGGGCGACCAGCGGGCTGATCAGGGGACGGCACCAGCCAGCGAGTGGCCGTCCTTGTCCCCCCCAATCACCCCTCTGCTATCGCTGGTCGCCGACCCCCCCATTGCCGGCCCCTCTCTCTGCCCACTTGCAGGTGCCTTGTCTGGCCTGGCGCTGCCTGCTTGCGGCCCTGCCCCCCGCCGACCGGTTGTTCCACCTTTTGGTCGATTTGCATATTACGCTTTTATTATATAGGATTATTGTGTGTCAGGTATTACACTAAGTACAACTGACATATTTAATCCTCAAAAAACCTCACAAGGCTATTTTTATTTTTAGCTTTTTAAATGAGGAAAAAGAAGATTGAATACGTTAACCAAGTTCTCAAAGCTACTAAATGAATGCCAAAGTTTAAACACCAGTCAGTCTAATTTCAATATACTTTTGCTACTTTTATATCTGTGAGGCAGATTTTGCTCACATACTTCATGAAAAACAACATACTGCAACATACTGAATACAAAAGCAGATATGAGAATCCAACTATCCTTTATTAAGTCAGATATTAAGGAAGTCTGCAAAAATGTATATATTGCCAAAAAGTTTGAGAGCGACTGCCCAGCACATGGAAAGGTGAAAAAGAATTAGCCTATACTGATACTGCAGGAGCCATGACAAATATAAAAGATATAGGCAGAATTCTTGCCCAGGTCTAACTTCAAAGCCAGTCCTCTGAATTACTCTGTTTAGGCTGGATGTAAAAATTGACTAGGCAGAATATAAGTTTAAAGAATATGAAGTTATAAAGCATTTTAAGAGTGAAGGTGGTGTTTAAGCTTAATGTACTGAGAAAGGGAACAACTGAAAAATTCTGAAAAGAGAAGAGATACCAATAGGAGTTTGTAAGAACTATTAGTCTGGTAACACTGTATAGCATAATGTCTTCTGAAATACATTACTTGGTTAGTTGTTCTGAAAAACTTATACTGCTCCACACTAGAGATTAAACAATCTTATAAAATTATTAAGGTATTTTTAAAAATATACTTACGTTTGGGCTCATCTGTTGTAACAGCCAAAATAAAATCATACGGAGTCATGAATAACTGCCCTTCACATTCTATAGAGGCAAACAAACGAAACCGCCTTTCCCGAGATGTAGCATAGAGGTCTAAGTCTTCAATGTCTGTTCTGCCAATTGCTACCTAAAAAAGTAAAAAAATTTCAACTATGTGAAATAACATCTCCTTTTAGATTGTAAATGCTTTTAATTGTGCTAAAAGTGAATTAACAGAGTAAATGAAAATTTGAAAATATTGTCTTTTGAAGAACTGAATCATTTTATAAATTAAATAGAGGCCCAATGCATGAAAACGCATGCAAGAGTAGGCCTTCCTTCCCTGGGCTGCTGGCACCGGCTTCCCTCCAGCACCCAGGACCAGGCTTCCCTCCTCAGCCGCCTGTGGACCCCCGGACCTGGGCTGGCTTCCCTCCTCGGGCTGCCCGCAGGCACCCAGGACCCGGGCTGGCTTCCCTGCAGCCCTGACTTTGTCAGGAAGGACGTCTGGAATGACATCTGGTCTAATTAGCATGTTACCCTTTTATTATTATAGACTGTCCACATAAGTACAATGAATTAATACTTCAAAGATTCTACAATGAATGTTATTAACAGCCTGAAGATTTTAAACTGGAACTTTGAAGGACGTGTAATTTATTTCTTCAGTTTTAGTCTTAAAGAACATTAAATTTCTGAGCTAGTAGTTTCTCTAGAGCAGAGATTTTCAACTTTTTTCATCTCACGGTACACATAAACTAGTTACTAAAATCTGTGGCACACCAAAAAATATATTTTTTGCCAATCTGACAAAAAAAAAGGTATAATTTTGATTCATTCACACCAGATGGCTATTGCTGAGCTGTCATCATTTTTTTCATGTGACAATCTAAGGGAAAAGAGGTCAGATATTGCATGTTTTAAAAATTCTTGCAGCACATAGGTTGAAAATCACTATTCTAAAGGTAGAATGCCTACTATGCACTCTTTATATAGGCATATTTATTTAATTAGAAACTTATTCATTGTAGTTATTAATTTTCTTTAAAAAGTGAAACCCTGATAGGGTGTTCATGACTACCACTAAAGACACCATTTAGTAGAAACACCATCTAAAGTTGCTAACTCTAGATCACCATAGTACAGTTACTACCAACAGTCATTCTGAATTCTCTCTAGGGTTAAGATGAACAGAATTAGAAGAAGTGTGCGTAGCAGGAGAAGGAAGTCTCTCCTGTTTTCCTTAATTTGCAGTCTTTACCCTGTATATAAATAATTGTCCACTGTTATTTATTTTCTCTCTGAACTAACGATAACAAATTAATTTTTTAACAGAAGGATTATTTTCCTGATTATAAAAGTGAGATAATTATTGTATATAATTTAGAAGACAGAACTTCAGAAATTTATAGATATAAATTTTTTGTTTTCTTTTTTGGCAAAAAAAAAAAAAAAAAAGGGATTATACTGCCCTGACTGATTTGGCTCAGTGGATAGAGCATCAGCCTGCGGACTGAAGGGTCCCAAGTTCGATTCCAGTCGGGGGCATGTGCCTTGGTTGCGGTCACATCCCCAGTGTGGGGTGTGCAGGAGGCAGCTGATCGATGTTTCTCTCTCATCGATGTTTCTAGCTCTCTATCTCTCTCCCTTCCTCTCTGTAAAAAATCAATAAAATATATATTTTTTTAAAAAAGGGATTATACTATACTGCATTCATAGAAAAAGATAGGTAAATTGACAATAATCTCTGAGTTCTAGAGTAAAGCACTGGAATTTAATCTGACAGAAAACAAATGGCTTTAGGGAGATTCTTAAAATAGTGCTTCAGAGAGATAAAGCAACCTGGTACCAGAGGCAAGTAGCTCAGCAGTATATTAATAACAATGCTCAGGGAAGCCATAGGAATTAGGAAATTATTTTTGCTCTGCCAAGGGTGAGAAGTGAGACAATGAACAACTCAGTATCAAGAATGGGCAGTAATCTCCCTGAACGCTCCCCAGGGATCAGTCTACTACCTAAGTCCCCTTTTACACTTATATCCCAGGGCAGGGAGCCCAATCTTGTCTGACCACAAATTTGACTCTCCCTGGCAGACAGCAACTGCTTCTTGCTGGCTCTTTCCTTAGGCCTCCGTGGCCCCAGACACCTCTTCTCCAGTGAATTTCCTAGAGGACCTCTCCCTGTGAAGCTGTTTGAAGCCATGCCTCAGTCTAACATCCTGAACCACAATTTTTGCCTATATCTTCTATGTTTGCTATGGCCTAATATGGGCTTGATCTTTGACTTTTTGGTGCTCACAAGTGCCTGTTTTCTCACTGAGCTGCCCTTCCTTAGGCTCAGTCTATCATGTGTCGCAGCACGCCAAATCTGCTGGACCACTGCAACTGGTAATGTGATCCCCCTTCTATGAGCTAACGCAGGCAACTCCTCCTCCTCCTTCACTTCTAACAATCAATTAGCAAATCCTGTTGTTCTCCCTCTGATGCAGCGGTTCTCAACCTGTGGGTCGTGACCATCGGAAAATACATATAGCATATCAGATATTTACATTACGATTCATAACAGTAGCAAAATTACAGTTATGAAGTAGCAATGAAAATAATTTTATGGTTGGGGGTCACCACAACATGAGGAACTGTATTAAAGGGTCACGGCATTAGGAGGGTTGAGAACCACTGCTAATGTTTCACATACAGTCATGTCCACTACCTTTTCAAACACGCCCTTCTTCCCTAAAATTTTACAGTAATGGCCTGTGATGTTTGCCTCTAACCATCCTATAGTAAGAGAAAGTAAGAGAAAATGGGCAGAACTGTAGAATAATTTTGTATTCTTTAACTACGTGAGAATGAGTATCAGAAGAAATCTACCAAGTAGAGTTAAAGGTTTTCATTAAAATTCTACTGCATAAATTCTACACACTATGGCCTCGGCAAAAGTAACCATCATTTTTGATAACAGCATTAAGTGACCACAAGTCAATTTAGCACCACCTTAATTAAATGTTTTCCAGATTAAAAGGGGAAGCATGTGATCCTATATAATAAAAGCCTAATATGCTAAATGTCCGGTCATCCAGTCGTCCGGTCATCCAGTCGTCTGTTCAACCAATCAAAGTGTAATATGCTGATGATATGCTAAGGCTTCTCAACCACTCACTATGACGTGCGCTGACCACTAGAAGGACAGACACTCAATGCAGGAGCTGTGCCCTAGGGGTCAGTGCGCTCCCATAGAGGGAGCGCAGCTCAGCCGACAGACCCATCCCAGTGGCCCACCAACCCGGCGGCAGCCACTCACTCCCTCAGTAGTCCTGCATGTCCAATCTCCAGAGAATGGGCCAGGCACTGATGGACCAGTGCCGCTGGCCTCCTGGAAATTGGCCTTGCGCACCACGACCGCTTCCCCTCCTTAGACACTCCAAAGTTTGAATAAATCTAAACCTTCTGAAGTGTTAACATCACTGTTATGAACATTCAGAAACCAACAATCAATCAATAAAGGTGGAAAATGATATTCAAACCAGTTTATGAACCACCTCTTGGCAGTCTTGCTTACCTACACATGACAATGATCTTATATCACATCAATGTTCTGAGGCTTTAAAAAAAATGTATGCACAGCCATTTACCTTGAGCACACTGGCATGAATATGTGGATATAATCCTTATATTATAAGGAGCAGGTTAAGTACACCTATATTCACTGGCTGATCTACTTTAATACCTTTTTTGCTTACTTAAATCCATTATATATTTTAATTTTTGAAGCATAAAATTAACCTAAATATCTTTCAATAGTATATACTGTCTCAGTAAATGATACTTTTTTCATCACAAATTGCCAATAAAAACTCATCAGTAAGTATAATGTATCTACAGTGAATGGGAAAGTTAACCTGAAAGTAAAAAACCTGAATTATATCCATGTAGTTGTTAAAACATTAATTGATAAAATGAAAGTCTATTATAAACTAAAGGCCCGGTGCACGAAATTCATGTACAGGTAGAGTACCTATGCCTGGCCGGCAATCAGGGCCGATCAAGTTTCCTGCCCCCCCCCACCTCTTCCTTCCCTCTCTTCCTCAGCACCCTGCCACCACCACTGGTCACCCGCCATGTTCCATGATGCCCCCTGGTGGTCAGCGCATGTCATAGTGAGCGCTCAAACTCCTGGTTTTCTGGTCGAACTCCCAAGGGGATAGTTTGCATATTAGCCTTTTATATACTAGTAGATAGATAGATTCAATATCACGTGCTTAAAAAACAAGCCTTTTCAAAGCGATAAAGTACAATTTGTGAACCACAGGGAAGAGACTGACAGAAGCTATAGAACTCATGTTCAGTAAGAAAAATTCTCAATTTCTATAGATTGACATTACCTATTCTTTTCAACAATAAAGAGTAAATTTTGCTTCTATAATATCTTTAAAAAAACATGAGTGAAATTCATAAGTCCTTCTAACTTTTGACTACAGGAATAACAAGAATAAATGCACCTGGTGAGAATCTTATAATTTTATGAGCTAGGGAAAGCCAGAAAGAGGCGAATACACACTTCAAATTTGAATGAAGACTGAGAGTTAAAACATAGAAAAGGTCCTTGGTTATTGTTGGAGAAAAAGGCAAACACAAACATAATTTGTAAGAAGCTCAAATTCGGTAGATTATTCTTTTGGCTACAAGGAAAATTTCAGGAAGGGCAGCAATGGACAGAAGCCAGAACAGAAAGGTATAGAAGAGGTAGCATATGATTTATTTGACTCAATCCTGAACCAAGTACAAGACTCAAACTATAGACCTCAGCCAGGGATACAGAGGATACACATAGGTTCAAGCAACAGGCAAATTGGCTTAAATCCATTATTCAAAGAAGAGATGAATAGACCACATCAAGAGGAACCTGAGTTCAGAAAGAGCTGTTGTACATTGGATATTGGCATAAAGTCACTGGGGTATCAGACAGGAATCCATAAGACTGGGGCCAAATCATAGGATCAGTTACATTAACAATGTCAAAAGTGGCCAATTGCCCATTAGTCTTAAACTTATATTCTCCTATTGGTCTTAGTGTCTGTCTATGAAGAGGTTAAACTTACAGGTGGGTGTTCAGCTGAATTCTCATACAAGGAGAATACAGATCAGTCCAGCTGCCAAACTTAATTCACCATTATAAAAAAACAATCACTTTCCTCCATCATTAGATGAACGGATAAAGATGTGATACATGCATACACACACACACACACACACACACACACACACATTATCCTATATAATAAAGAGCTAATATGCTAATTAGACTGAACAGCAGGACGACTGTCCTGACGACCATCTGAGTGACCTTCTGGACGAAGCCAGGGCTGCAAGGGCCAGCTGAGACAGCTGGGGCTGCAAAGGCCGAGCTCCTTGCATGAATTTCGTGCATTGGGCCTCTAGTAATATATGTAATGGGATATCATTCAGCAACAAAAAACAATGAAATCCTGCCATTTGTGACAATATGGATCAACCTAGACGGTATTTCACTTATATGTATAATCTTAAAAAAACACACACACAAATGAACAAACACAACAAAACAAAAACAGAGAACAAACTGGTGGTTGCCAAAGGGAAGATGGGTGAGGAGATGGATGAAAAAGTGAAGGGGATCACAGTCAATAATATTGTGATTACTTTGCATGGTGGCAGATGGTTACTAGACTTAGTGTGGTGATCACATTGTAAGACCTATAATAATGTTGAGTCACTAGGTTGTACAACTGAAACTAATATAACATTGTATGGTGACTACTTGAATAAAAATTTTTATAAACAAACAAAAAACAATTATTTTCCTTCTCAAAACTCGAGGCCTTCACCAAATAATCCTTTCTTTATCTAGTATATTAGAAAGGGTGGGCTAAATTCCTCAGATGTAATTGCTCAAACACAACAGAAATGTGTTCATTTCCAAAAAGGACATGCTAGGTCTGCAGGGTGGGATGGGACGGTTTGAGGGGGGTGGGGTAGAGCGGGAAGCTGATTCACACATTCATTCAGAGACCCAGGGTGATGATGACTGCCTTTATCAACCAAGGTGGGGCAGGGCAGCATGGAAGAAGTTCATGTGAGGAGCTTTTATAGGCCAGGCCTAGAAGTGGTCAGTCGAAGAGAAGTTAGTCACTTAAGTGCAAAGGATAATGGATAACGAATCCGGCATCCACAGCTCTAACTATTATGAGGTAAGAGAAGAGATTATGGTCAACAGCTTGCTGTGTCTGTCACACTAACTTTTGGTGACAACATCAAGGGCTCATGAAATATAAAGACTAGGGGAAAAACATTAGAATTATATATAGTATGTTTAACGAAGACTTAGAGAGATACAGTTCCAAAACAAACCACATCTGTAGCCTCTTGGGAGGTACGACTTGTAAATGACCTTAATTAGTTTTTTAGGAAATACTAGACTACTGTGATTCACCTTAAATTGACACTTCCACACATTTTATTCTGCACTTATTGTATTTCTTCCCAAAGTCTTAAACACAGCCACTACTCACTTGAAATGTAATGCTTGCACTTGCACTCTCCCAGCTTTGTTTTTCCAAATTTGGCAAAAACGCTTTGAAACTCTGACCTTTTCACTAAACAAAGTCAGTGAGATTAAGAAAACATTGGTTTTGATCCTCCATCCTTGAATATTGAGAGAAGTTGAGTGTAAATAGATGTTTTGTGCTCCACAGTATCCACAGTATCTATGGGAGGCTGAACAGTAACTACTGTCCAAAAGTTTAACTTACAAAAACTGAATTGAACTGTCTATAGGTAAAAAGATGATGACCTTAAAAATTTTGATATGCGATTATAAAACAGTTGATCATGAACTAAATTTGGTTGACAGACTGCTATACTCAAAATATCCAAATAAAAGAACTAAAAACTCTAAAATTTAAGTAATAATATATAAAATTACCCAAAAGTTATATATATATAAACTTGTTTAAATTCTAACAAGTTCATTTCTTTCATTAATAAAGTAAAATTCACTCTGAAAATAAAGTATCACCAAACTTTAAAAAATGAAATTATAAGTGTGATTTCAACAAATAATATCTTATTAAATGTAATACATTATGATTTCTTGGCTTCATGTAGGCATATTCTAACTAGATATGTGAACATTTTTATGGTGTTATTTTCAGAGAAAAGGAGAATACAGACATCCGAAGTTTAAGTACTACTGCAATATTTTTATATGTGGCAAATTTCATAGAGGAAATGGAATTTTTCATATCAAAAAGATCTCACAAAACTGCTACTGAGAACTATACAAGCATGGGTTTCAGAGTTGGCACATCAATTATCTTTATTCTAAGTGTAAGAAAACACAACAGAAAAATGAAATCACAGAACTCTAGAGGTAGAAGAGAATTTAAATTTGTCTTTTTCTTTTATTCCTTCTAGGAAATTATATTTTACATATTCTAGAAATTATTTTATGGTACTTACTAACATTCTTTTCAAGTATGCTAAACAAATGTTTAGGAAATCTTCTTTCCAGCTCCAGAAAGCTCTATCTCTTTTGTTACACTGAGAAATTGTGAACTGCATTCTAATTCTTTAACCTCAGTTTCCTTACCTATAAAAATGGAGAATTTCATGGATATAAAAATTTTAAACATACCTGTAAACTAACACACACAATTTATTCATAAAATTGAGTAGGGATCATTTTCAGGTACTTTGTGGATATGCTGACATAAGAGCAGTGGCTTAAGAAGTGGTAGAAA